CCCTCGGCAATTGCCTCGCATCAAATACTTGTTTTATATGATTTCTTTACCTTCAGTCGCTTTTTTCAATAGCCCGTCTAATTCTAGAATCTGCCCCCTGGTTGTTAGTTATATAGTATATACATTATTAATTTAACGCAGGGTCATCATCACCACTACTCCGCTTACAATGGCAGAATAAGCCTAAGGGTTATCCGAGCCACCCGAGAAGATTACGAACACCAATTGCTTACCCGGGCGTAGGTGACCGCACGTGGTGGCGGACTTGACATCTGACGGGCAAAGTTAAGTAGTATGAACGGTGGAAATCTCCACTGTATAGAGAGTAGTAGTTCCGCCCCCAAGTCTACGCAGGTATGGATCCTTCGGCGAAGTAATTTATGCATCATCTTCGATCGAGAGGAGCGTCTTACTTAGCTTGCCACCTCCGCTCGCATTTCGCTAATACATTCCCTTTTGATTCGTTGAAAGAGACATGGTTACCGGATAGATTGCTGTATCAATCTCAATTTATAGGGTCGGGCAAGTTATACGCCGAGATGCAATCGACGTCAATTGACTTCATTCGCTGAAGGTAGGGGTGGTGGAATCAGCACAGGATGGCATTCCTTGTACGATGTGTAAAAGAAAACAAAACAAAAAAAAGGCTGAAAAGGCGAGCGTTACAAACTCGGGATTCATTATTTTCAACTATTACTGAGTACTCTTGGAATGGCCCGAGTGTCGGAACTCCGTTTAATGTATAACATATATACCATGTGGTCCATTGAAGAGCTCTGCAATTGTAGAGGATCAATTGTCCCGGGGCGGAAAAGAAGGGTTAGACTGTTAGGTTTTTATCGAACTGGAAAGCAATCTAGAACTATTTCGTGTTAATGCTGTCCCAACCAAGTTGATGGCATAAGTAACAGGCGTCGCTGAAAGAATTCGTTTGGGTTTAATATGTCCATACCAGTCAAATTTCTAAGGGCATAGTTAAATATTATTTCAATATAGCTATGCCAGACTTCGTTCTAGTCGACTGTAGTATGCCTACTGGGATCTATGGCCATCTAGAGCTAGCAAATGGAATGTACCTTATCAAAGAATATATACACTCAGAACGATAATATTCGGTGTCAGACACGAGAAATCTTCAGCTCCACGGGTTTTGAGAAACACCGATTGCCGCTAATAACATGACACCTTTTCGTAAATTCCTCAGAGAATGACACCTGCATTAGTCTAACAGGCAAGTCCCATAGGAACGAAGGAAATAATATTATTCTGTTGGTGATCTAAAATAAACCCCGACATTCGGCGCCGCATATCTCCGTGCCTGTGGTCGACAGGTTTAGAAGATAATGAATGAATATTAGGCCTTGCGGGTTTCGTCGGCATCCCTCCCTACCAGTCCGCCTTGCCATCGGATTCCCTCTCCGCCAAATTGACTAAATATCCTGTGTTGCTGTGTTGCACCTCCCCCATCGTATCTGGAACCCGCTGTGTAGCACAGCCTTCGTGACGGCTTGACAACGCCATGGTGATCAGCCTGGTATGGAGTATTCAGATGCGTGTTGATCGACTTATCCGCCGTTGTTGTCCCGTGTCAGATGAATGGGGACGAATTACTGGAACTAATTGGGCGGGAGCGGATCTTGCCGCCGTTCTGGACGCCGTGTAGCGTGCATTGTGGATCTCCTCGTGGCTGCCTGGGGATTCTCCCCCTTCAGCTTGGGCCCCTTATGCATACCCGCTTTGGGCTTACAGCCACGCCTCGTTTTTGTTGGGGGCCGCGACGGATATTGTGCCTCAGGCACGAACTGGAGCCACGCTCATCCATACTCCGGACCAGTAATTTGACAATTTGCCTCCCTTAGGCTAGACTCAAGGGTCACGGATAACGGAAATTAATGAGGTTCAAATCTTTCAACGCTGATAGAAACCGGCCTATACTATCGTCAATCATTGACATTGGGTGTATATCGCTCAGGTCAATTGGTCAAGTATACTACTGTACAGTACATCCCTATTCCACTGGATTTGTCGTTCCAACATGGGAATACTATCTGTTACTATATTTATATCATTGACCGTTGGGATCGTCGTATTACTTCCCTGTAGAGATACGCCTTAGGTTGACAAGGTCCGTGACATGGCTCTTCAGGCGCCCTGTTCATGGGGCTCCAAAAAGGCTGACCGAAAAAGTACCTTGTAGTATGGCAGGGCACTGATCAACGATCTAACTTCTTATAGGCTAAGTCGTCATTCGCGATACTATGACGGCTGAGTCTTCGAGTTGTTGGTTCAAGCGCAAGGTGGTAGCTGCACAGTTGATCATTTCCCTTTGAGGACATCTGCAGACGCCATTCACGGGTTGCTAGAGTTTTCGTGGAGGCAGATTCAGCAGGTGTCGACTTCCCAAGATACTCACCAGTTACTGCAACCAGACACACAAGGTAGCTTTTACCTATTGAGCGGTGGGTACTCCTTCTGGATAGAAGAGAGCAAATTTTGCAAAACCGAGATAGCTAGACTTTCTGCATATTCGTTTTAAGCTATGTTATAATGCAAGATAGCGCTTATGCTAGTTGAAAAATGGCCAAACCAAACTATAGCAGTGATATAACCCAAGACTGCGATTCGTTTCTCTTATCCATACCCATAAAGAATCATGTAAAACACTCTAAACGACTTGTAGCCCATTTTGCGCGACAGAGGCTTCATTTACAGGACGTAGCTGGTAAAGTCAGTATAAGATCATAGAGAATGTATCCGACAGCAGACTTACCTCCACTTATGGTCTTCATCACCATACTGGATTCCCTCAATCCAGTTTTTCATCTGGGAAGCAATCTCGCCAGCTTCCTCATCTTCCTTCAAGCCGCAATCGACCATCTTGCCTTTGTAGCTGATGCTTCGTACAGGGCTTACGATGGCTGCGGTGCCAGATCCAAACACCTCAATCAGCCTACCCTCGTCTGCTGCCTCAGCAACTTCAGACATTCTAATCTTGCGCTCGGACACAGTCCAGCCCTTTGGTGCTAGTCTTTCCCGGGCAAGTCCCAAAACAGAGTCACGGGTCACGCCTTCAAGAATGGTCCCATCTAAAGGAGCAGTGACTAGTTCCTTCTGCCCTGTTTCCTTGTTCTTCAACGCAATAAAGAGGTTCATAGTTCCGACCTCAGTCACGTATTCTTCCTCACCGAAAAGCCACAAGTTCTGCTGGAAGCCTCGGGAGGCTGCGCTCAGTTGAGGAACAATGCACGGAGCGTAGTTAGCACCCAGCTTCTTATCTCCAACACCACCGGGCCAGGCTCGAACAGCATAGTCAGTGGCCTCTAGAGAGATGGCTTTGAAACCAGTGGGGTAATAAGGCCCAACAGGGCTTGCGATGACGAATAAAAGGGCAGAACCTGGTGGTCCAACCCCAAGGGTACTTTGCGTGCCAATCATTGTGGGCCGCAGGTAGAGTGAGTAACCCCGAGCACTATTGCCATTAGTTGAAATACGTGGTGAGTCAGCGATGACCATACCTAGGGATGAATCTGCTGTCCAGCTTCACGAGCTCCCCAACCAATTGAGTCAGAGCCTCACCATCAACGGTAGGGAGAGCGATTCGCGATGAAGACTTGTTTAAGCGCTCCATGTTCTTGTCTGGACGGAACAGCCGAATTTGGCCATTGTTGTCTTTATAGGCCTTCATGCCTTCGAAGCATTCAAAAGCATAGTGAAACACACAAGCCGAGGGATCCAAGCTTAGGTTTTGGTAGGGGACAATACGAGGGGCATCCCAGCCATTGGATGCTGACCATTCAATAGCAAGCATATGATCTAAGAGATATTCACGTTACTATAGGCACAAAATGTGGCTAATTCCTTGGATTGCGCATACCAGTAAAGGTTTTGCCAAAAACGAGATCCTTAGCAGGTGTCAATTCTTTAGGGGTGCTCGTTTTGGTAACCGTAAGCTTTGAAGGATCAATGCCAGCTAGCCGGGAAGCAACAGCTGGAGTACTGCTGAAATGCCTCTGCCATAATCGAATTGCGCTGAAGCTCTGCTTCGGAGGGATGGCCAGGCTCTGTAGCGCCTTGGGGCGAGCGAATTGACGCAGCGAGTTCATGCCTGCGCGCCGCAAACTGAGAACCGCGGTACTCACGGGGATGGTTTCGCAGAGTGTCTATCGACCGTGTCACTACTAAGGAGAAATTGATGTTGGTGAAAGATAGGAGTATGGGCAGGAAAGCGAGTTTAAATGGCGGAAGGGGCTACCTTTAACAGATGAATGAGTCGTATCCCACGGACCCTAGGTCCAACTCCGGAAGTTCCAGCGATAACCGAACTGATACGGAAGCCAAACAAACGCGCCCCACACGATCTCGAATGGCAAAACCGTCATACAAATCCAGTGATGGAAATGTAAAGTGCAATTGTTAATTGTTGGCTGCCGTCAAAGTAACTTTCACAGAAGTTGACCGCGAGATTGTTTATATTGTTGATTAACAGGCCAAAGCGATTGGCAGACAATCCATGGCTGACGTCCGAGGTCGGAGTTAAAATTCGCAGATAGCCGGCAATAGCCTTTACAGTACCATTTGTGAGCTGTGAGCCACGTGATATCAGCATGAGCTGTGAACCGTTCCACAATCATTCATTGGTTACAGCGTCATTTATCACGTGATTATATCCGTCCTGATGGCAGCAGATCAGGTATGCATACTTAGGCCGAAGGTTTCGAGATGGATAATTAAGCATAACGTGTAGGGCTGAGGTGCACCAAACACGCGTTTCCCGTTTGATTTTGGCTATTTATCAGCGTCCTTCTCTTTCTGTGCAATGGTTACTCAAAGTGCACAGTCAATATCTGATTAATACACGGGAGGGCATCTTGCGTGAACCACAACTTGCGAGGCATTCTTACCACTCCATCGCCACATCGAATCAAGAAAACAATCGCTCTTGGCTACTCCGCCCAGAATACTGCTTGGTTCTATGCTTTTAAGCTGTCGGCGGGAGAACCATGTTTTCATCAGCTCTGAAATCGTTTAGTTCCAATATATCAGCCAATTATCAAATTTCTCCGCAACCCGCAGTGATCTCTGGTCCTTGGAAAGTTCATGATGGAAAGAAAAAGTCCACCGGCACCTCGGCCTCCATTTTCATCTTTGACAAGAAGTCACTCGAGTCACGCCCGAGCGGTCTAGGTGGTCGTTCCTCCTCTTCGGCAAAGAAATTGCACGAGGATGTCGTTGAACGACTTAAACGGGAAGCTGGTAGCCTGACACGGCTCAGACATCCCTCTGTGCTCCAGGTTCTAGAGCCCGTGGAGGAAACCCGTGGTGGTGGTCTCATGTTTGTGACTGAACAAATAACCACCTCTCTTGCTAGACTCCTGCAAGAGAAAGATGCGCAAGAAAGCAATTCGAGGTTGGGCTCGAGGCCTAGCCGTTACATGGTAGAAGAACCTGACGGAACCCGAAGGCGACGAGATTTGGAGATTGATGAGCTAGAAATTCAAAAGGGACTTTTGCAAGTTGCCAAGGGCCTCGAGTTCCTTCACGAATCTGCGGGTCTTGTACACGGCAATCTTAACCCCGAGGCCATCTTTATCAATGCCAAATCCGACTGGAAGATATCAGGCCTTGGGTTTGCCGGCCCACCCAACTCCACAGACTCTCGGTCCTCTCTTCCACCTTTAGCTTTGTCAGAAGTCCTTTACCAGGACCCTCGCCTCCCTCCCTCCGTCCAACTGAATCTGGACTATACGTCACCCGACTTTGCATTGGACTCCAATGTAACTACTTCTGCGGACCTGTTCTCCCTTGGGATTATCATCGTAGCTCTATATAATTCCCCGCACGTCTCTCCGCTCCAGGCTCATTCGAATCTCAACTCATACAGAAAATTACTCAGCTCTCCCTCTACGACGCCATCACAAGGCAATAATTTTCTTTGCTCGGGCACCATTCCGAAGGAACTCATTACACACGTACTACCCCGGTTAATAACTAGACGACCAGCGCAGCGTTTGAATGCCCGTGAATTCCAGCAATCACAATATTTCGATAACATTTTAGTATCAACGATCCGTTTCTTGGAGTCCTTGCCAGCTAAGAATCAGAATGAGAAATCGCAATTCATGCGCGGGCTGCAGCGGGTTATCTCAGAATTTCCAGTGTCCGTGTTGGAAAGAAAAGTGCTGGGTATATTGTTGGACGAGCTGAAAGACCGTGAACTCCTACCCCTCATCTTGCAGAATATCTTTGCGATCCTCCAGCGCATTCCCAATGCACGTCGTACACTCCCAGAGAAGGTAATTCCTCGAATCAAAGAGCTGTTTCCGACGGACAAAGCTGCTGTTCATGAACGTGATTCTAAGAAAGATGCGGGCCTCATGGTTGTTCTTGAACACATGAAAACCGTGGCAGACAACTGCTCTGGAAAGGAGCTAAAAGAGGATATCTTGCCACTAATCCGGCTAGGTCTAGACTCACCTACTCATTCCTTGGTAGATGGGGCTATTAAATGCTTGCCTGTCATCCTTCCAATACTTGATTTTAGCACCGTCAAGAACGACGTCTTCCCTCCAATCGCTTCTACATTTAGTCGAACAAACAGCCTTGCTATTAAAGTACGATGCCTGGAAGCATTCACTGCGCTGTGTGGTGGCTCTCTAAATGAAGGAGGGCCGGTCGAAGATGACTTGTCTGGATTGGTCCAGAAAGGCAACTCACAGCCGATCAGGTCATCTATTTTGGACAAGTATACGATCCAGGAAAAACTCGTCCCATCACTTAAAGCGATCAAAACGAAGGAGCCGGCTGTCATGATGGCGGCCTTGCATGTGTTTCAACAGATCGGCACGATTGCTGATACCGAATTCCTTGCTCTGGAGGTCCTGCCAATCCTGTGGAACTTCAGCCTAGGACCACTTCTCAATTTGCATCAATTTGGTGAATTTATGAACCTTATTAAAAGCATATCTTTGAAGATCGAGCGTGAACAAAGGAAGAAACTACAGGAGCTCTCTTCGGGAACAGACTCAAGTGGGTTCCAAAACGGCGCGGGAAGTTCCTCGAAGATACCCAATAGCTTAACACAATCTAATGTGGACTCTACGAGAGATAACTTTGAGCGCCTTGTTCTTGGGCGGGGTCCCGATGCTTCAAGCTCCAAGGATACTGATCCCTGGAGCAGTATGCTCTCGGAGGAGGCGTCTGCTCAAAAGCAATCACCCGCAGCATTCTCGTGGTCAACAAATGTGGCTGCATCGGCTGGCAGAGGCAATGCCCCGTCGGGTGCTTCAAGCCTCAGTATGCGCTCCATTACACCTGATTATAACTTACACTCGTTTCCCTCGCTGGAGCCTACCGCTAGGCAACGATCCTCTCCACGCCCGCCTTCCCCACCTTGCAAGCAACATCACCTGATACTTGGAATGCGCCAAGCTATCCGAATAGCCAGAATCCTGTGTCTGGTCCATCCTTAGGGGCGGTAGCTAACATGAAGGCTTCTGGTGCCTCCATGTCTGGACCAAGCGTACAACCAACCCCTAATTACGCTGCGTTTTCTATCCCTCCACCTCCGTCTTCTCATATTGCGTTGGGGACTTTCCCAAACTCTGGCAGTCTGGCAGCTGCAAACAAATCCCCCTTGGGGATAAATACTCCCCAGAATGCATTCTCGAATAACAGTGTGTCACAACTACAAGGCAATGCAAAGCAGGGGCTTGACAAGTATGAAAGTTTGTTGTGAGTGGAATGATATTATAGTACTATAGAACTCAGTTGGTTAACCTCCCTCTCTGTCTTTTTCTACTTTAACTACCTTTCTCTTCCTTTGATCTTCTCACGTTTATGTCTCTTCCAGGATAGAAACATGACAGGGCATGTGCCCATATTTTCTTTTCTTTTTTTCTCGTTATTATATGTACATAGTCATGAGCTATCCGACATATATAATGTGTTAGCCAAGGCCTAATCATGAGCCAATATGTTTCCCTCCTTCTGTATAGCTGGCAGGTATCCATAAAGATAGAGAGGGTGGGTCTGGACTCTGATAAGCTGTCGAGCAAACTCCACTTTTGCCAAGAATTATGTATCCATGATGCTACCTCCAGTCAGAGAAAGACTAAGGAGATACTTAGCACTGTCAGCTCCAAGAATGCTCGCTGTTCGAGGCGCTTCGAAGCGCTTGTCTTCGGAACATTTTCTCCACCGCCCCTCCGGACCCTTTCTTCTGCCCCTCAATCGTCCCCGTCCTTTACATCACTCTTTACGTACTTGTTCTTCTTTCACAAATAACCTTTCCACAAGCACTGTACCTCTTACTCACACGCATCAGAAAATAGTCATGATGGATGAGAAGGTCAAACAGCACTATTTGGCTGACTCACCTCCTACGGTGGTTCGCCTTGAGATCAAACACCACTTTGACAATCTCAAGGATGCAAAGCTGAGACGATATGCGCACTACATAAGCAGGTTAGTTTCTTCCGAAGTCCAGTTGCATACGTGGCCACCTATTCCACTGGTGTGCACAAAGCTGATAACCGAACTTACTGTTGGAATATTAGAGCGGCATTTGAAGGCACTCGCGTTACTTTGCGCCAGGTTTCCCCCGAGTCTGAACCGATCTACGATCTTATAATCGCACTCTACCACGCCTGTGATGGAAACTGGACTGACCTCGCTAAAACGACCAATGTAAGCGACGAGAATTTGCGTTATTTCTTGGAGTATTCGGTCCAGTTTCTCGGGAATTGCGGGAACTATAAAGGTTTTGGTGACTCCAAGTTCATTCCTCGACTACCTGTGGAAGCCTTTCAAGCGTTGGCCTCATCCACCTCAGAAACAAAAGCAGCATTTGAGAAAGCCAATAGGACTGGAGGTGGTATTTATGAGACAAAAGAGCAGGCGCTTATGCACCTTGGTTATACAGATGGTGGCCATATGACTACTTATTACCCTGATTCGCCATCCATAACGAAAGATGAGATCACAGCTATTGGCGACCTTATGGAGAAAAAAGGGCTACCTCTGGAGAATACAAGACTAAAGAAGTTGCCATCCGGGGACTTTGAGTTGTTAATTGCCTCGGGCGTTTCTTCTCCTCCTGTGAGGGACAGAGATCTTGGTGAAGTCGACGCTTTAGACCTGGATGGTAACTTGACTGGAAAGAAGTTGCGCCTGGTTTTTGGTGATCATATAGAGGAAATGGCAAAGATTGCCCATTCGCTTAAGCAAGCGGGACTCAATGCAGCAAACGACAACCAGAAACGGATGTTAGATGCATATGCCTTGTCATTTGGTGCCGGCTCAATTGAAGCCTTCAAAGAAAGCCAGCGGATCTGGGTGAAGGACCAAAAGCCAAGTCTGGAGACCAATATAGGGTTTGTAGAGACTTATCGAGACCCGCATGGAGTGCGAGGAGAATGGGAAGGCTTCGTTGCTTTGGTATGCCACAAGCATTAAAATTTTTGTCACTTCTTCATTTGCTGATACCCAATACCTGAGCAGGTTAATCTAGAACGTACCCGAGCATTCGGAAAACTGGTGGATAGTGCAGAGAGCATGATTCCCAAGCTTCCATGGGGCAAAGATTTTGAAAAGGACAAGTTTCTCAGCCCAGACTTCACCTCGCTGGAAGTCTTGAGCTTTCAATCTTCCGGCATACCTGCTGGCATCAACCTTCCCAACTATGACGATATCCGTCAAAACCTAGGTTTCAAGAACGTATCTCTTGGAAATGTGCTTAGCGCTAAAGCCCCTAATGAGCCAGTTCCCTTTATTGCCGAGAAGGATTTGGAGGTTTATCGCAGATGCCGTGACCCCGCTTTTGAAGTCCAGGTAGGCATCCATGAACTTCTCGGGCATGGAACTGGCAAGCTTCTCCAGGAGACCGCCCCAGGGGAGTATAACTTCGATATTTCCAACCCTCCTGTGAGTCCAATCACGGGAAAACCGGTATCTACATGGTACAAGCCTGGCCAGACCTGGAGCTCGGTTTTCGGAGCCATCGCTTCTTCTTACGAGGAGTGCCGCGCAGAGTGCGTCGCTATGGTGCTCAGTTGCGACTTTCACATCCTGAAGATTTTTGGGTTCGGTAACGGACAAGAAGATCTCACCAACGAGGCCGGGGATGTCTTGTTCGCAGCATATCTGCAGATGGCTCGTGCAGGCCTGGTCGCCTTGGAGTTCTGGGACCCCAAAACTCAGAAATGGGGGCAAGCCCATATGCAAGCCCGTTATAGCATTCTGCGATCATTCCTTGATGCCGGTGACGATTTCGTCAAACTTTTCTATACCAAAGAAGATCTCTCTGATTTGGAGATTCATCTGGACCGATCGAAGATTCTGACACACGGGCGTCCAGCCGTGGAGAAATATCTGCAAAAGTTGCATGTCTACAAGAGTACTGCGGACTTTGAAGCAGGTAAGAAGCTCTATGATGATATCACGTCGGTCGATGAGTGGTGGGGGACCAAAGTTCGTGAGGTTGTTCTTCAGAACAAGGTCCCACGTAAAGTGTTTGTCCAGGGCAACACCATCCTAGATGGGGATGAAGTGACCCTTAAAGAATATGAGCCGACGCTTGAGGGAATGATCCAGAGCTTTGTTGAACGCAATGTCTAGATTCATAGATAGATTTGCATGCGTTGGCGATGTGCTTCAACTATGTCTGGATACAAGATACCCGTTTATAGTGTTCCCCTTAAATCTGAGGGATGTCTCAAAACTATATCATATCGTACTGTCCGATATTGGAGGCATGAGTATTTCGTTGCTGGAGATGTAGTCATGTGATCATATGTGAATCCATTTATATAACAGATCATGAAAGTATGCCTAGTGAATTTGAGAAATTTATTACTAGAAACAACTGTTCATCAATATCCTTGTGTAAACCAAGTGATTGGGGCGGAGGAAGAAGTAGCGTTGTTGCCCCAGGTGCTCCGTAAGCCAACTTCAGTCAACGTTTCCTCCATCACCTCTAAGCGCTTCCCTCCCACACTTCTCCTCTTCCCATTGTCTTCGCCTCGCTCACATTTGCAGCTTCCTGTTATTTTGTACTGCCCATCATCTATCATCAATCTCTCATTTTTCCTCCCCCTTAAAAATAGCTCGAGCATAAGTCTGCCTTCACGAATACCCGCCGCGTCCCTATGTTTTACCGACAGCTCTAGAGACACACCACACTCCTGATCGGCGTGGGAAACGGGAGTCTGACCCTCTTCGATCAACGGGGAGCCCCTCACAAGTAGCTCCTCACATTCCGTCACAGGCACACAAGTACAAATCCCGTCCCTGTGATCTCGAAACGACTCCCGACACCTTGCCGTGGCAATCGGGTTCTCCTGGCTCGCCTACCACGCGCGGCCGCATCATCTCCCGGATTCTACAGTGGAGGACGACGACGACTTCTATACTGCGCCGCCGCCGCATTCCCCGTCCTCACAGGTTTCCTCATTTAGCTTTATCTCAGCACATCCTCCGCCATTCTTGTCTCTTGTGTACCATCCTGGAGCTGATTCCAATCGCGCCAAGGTTACAGTTCCCGAATCAGAGCCGGCTTTCGTCTCGCCGTTCACATCTCCATCCTCCGAAGAAGAACCACCGAATTCAGATTCCTCATCATCCGTGATCGCAGAGTCCAAAGATACCTTTTCCAGGGATCCCAAAGAGTATTCTCCGGGAAGGTCAGCGGAAGAGGGAGAACCTCCTCCCCCGTACACCGAAGGTTCGAGCCCCATAAACTCATTCACCTACGTTATGGCTACGGCAGGAGGCGCGTCGAGTATCATCACTCAAGTACAACAGGCGGGTGGACCACCAATAAACACTTTAGGAGGTATGACACTTGATCGGCACTTATGACCATCTGTTCGAGTCACTAACTCAACTATTCTGGAATTTAGACATCGGAGGCGATGAACATATAACTCTGGACCTCAGGTGAGAATTCGCGAACCTTGAATTTCTGGCACTTTATCTAATGTGGCTTGCAGAGGAACAAGGTTCACACTCTCTCGGGATGAACTGTTAACACTGCCGGAGTTTGTCCTTTTATCGCTGTTTCCGAATGGTTTACTTCCAGATGGACACATGGGCACCTTTCACGAAGGTGATATTTACCCCGTCGATGTAAGTAAAGCAAAAACGCTCTATCGATTCACACATAAGTCCCTTCGGCCGATTGATATACTCTTCTAACATATACACGTTAGTATGATCCGGTGTCTCTCCAGTACATGCTTGACTTCTTCCGCTCCGTCGCTCAATCCATCCCGTCATCTCCTACAGCCTCGACATCGCAAGACCTAGACGTATCCCCCGACTCCATGCAAGGATCGACCAGAGACATGCTCCAGGACCGGGCAGGGATCATCGTGCTGCGGGAAGACCTTGATTTTTATGCAATTCCTCCACGGCCGGATATCGATCACACGGAAATGATCGAGGTCAAGCGTGCAGCTGCAAGAGCGCTACTGAAACAAGACGGGATCTTCTCTGGATTAAGGAAGAGCGATGAGGCTGGTTCAACAGAGCAGCACTTGATCGAGATGCTGACTGCAGGGTAAGCTTTATATCTTTGAGCGCCCAGCTCTCTTTATAACCTTAAATGCTAAAATAATTATAGCGGCTTTGATCGTGATGATCGGTGGGGTCACCGTGCCCCAGAGCCCAACAAGGCAGTTATCTGTAGCCTCGCATTGGCTAAACTCCGTACTGATATCAGGGGTGACATCCCCAATAACAACGCAGTTGGCATGGCCCAAAAACTCCTCTTATTTTGGAGAAAACCTGCTAGAAGATGCTGGTGGGAGGGTGTTGAGTTGGAGAATATCGAAGGCGTTCAAGGCAAGGTGAAAATCTGGATTCGCAGAGTATGGACTTTAGAAATGGTAAGACTTGTGGACCCTGCCACTGATCTGATGGCTCAAGCTAACATGACTGCAGAGTGTAATTGGGCTTCGATAACCAAATCCCACTAATTCTTTAAGCTTTGCATTGTTCTCGTGCAATGTCTTGCCTGCTAGAAGCATGCCATTCACAGCAATGGCTTTCTTTATTGTTTTCCACAACTCTTTTTTCTTTTTCAAGCCCATCTTTGGAGGAGTTCATGATACCCCTACCTACTTCCGCGTCTGCCGTTGCAGGCAAGGGGAATGGCGTATTCAATTAAAGATTGAGGGTGCTTGTGTCATTCTGTTTATTGTTTCCACCAGCTGGCCCTCATTTTCTTTTTCTTTGTGCTTGCTGTCTATAGTTGACATTTTATCCTCAACCTCTTTTTTTCCCTTGTTTAACTAGTGATAACATCCTTTGTCTGAGGAAGTCCTAGACATCTACAATACAATCTTAGGACCTAATTCACCTCTCTCTCTCTCTCTCTTCTTCATCTTAATTTTTGCCCCGGTTAGAACAAGACAAAGAAAAAGGAAAAGGAAAGAACAGAAATCTGGTAAATTTTGAATCGATATCGCCGATCCATAGTAGAAACAAGAATTCATTTACATACACGTGACTATGACTCCGAAATAGGATTAGCGGGGATATTCCGGTGGAAAACGCGACAATGCAGAACAGGCGGAGCTCGACCGCGATCACCGTCAGAGGAGCTTTGGCTTGTACTAAAGATCAACCTGTCGCTGACGCAGGCCGACCATATCGCATTGCCAGACTTACTGATCGCTTTTTCAAGTGGAAGCGACTCTCCAATTCATTTGCAACTTGCATATACATATTCTCCTCCACGCTTTCGTTGACCGCATTCAAGATAAGATTTGCTTGTTCTCGAATCGGAGTGCCCTGGCAAATCAAGAAGGGACATGTTCTTGTCCACATAACTGGCCAACATGTCCCCCCTCAGAGGCTATATTACTTCTTATTCTCCGCGAGTCCGCCAATATGGAAACGCGCTTCTCGCACCGGTCATTCCTCCAAGCCAAACCGGTCCGACACCTCGAATGACAAAGAGAGGAACAGCGGCAATAAACTACGCTGAAGATGGGTTTGACGACGACGACTTTGAGGACAGTGAAGGTCCCCGACGACCCACTGGCTTGAGGAGCCTTCGACGGGAAGAGTCGACTATTGACAAGGTTCCTTTGGCGGAAAAGTTGGGCAAAGAAGTTCATACTCCTGTTGAGGTTCAAGGGGTATTTCGGGACTGGATGATTAAGAGGATGCTGAGGCCTGTGTATGCTTTGCTAATCACCACTCCCTTTCTATATCACCTGAAGCTATTTTTTGCGGATGCTAACTCTAAGTTTTTGCTGTTATACAGCTGCGCCGACCAACTGCAGATTCAGGCGCAGCTCCCCCTCACCCTAATACCCATTCGCATTGATTTAGAAGTTCCAGCGCATCAACCTCTAGAACCCTTCCAATTGCCACGAACTGTTCTGGATCCCGGTATCAACCCTACTCTCCCCGGCTATAGAAGACCCGAGCCGTTGCCTGCGTACAGGATCAAGGATACATTCCTTTGGAACCTTCACGAAGCGCTGGCAACTCCTGAAGAATTCGCTACCGGCTTTGTTCGTGACTTAGACCTACCCAATCCGCAGGCCATGACAATGGCAATCAGCAATCAAATTCGTCAACAATTAGAAGAATATGCCGGTGTTGCGCTACATCCGCTATTTCAAAGTACAGTGCCAAAGCTGCCTTCTGCCAGCCAAGCTGGTGTATCGCGCGATGTATCCGCAACTCCCGCTCCTACCCATGCCGCCACGCCTGATAGCAGATCCAACACTGTGACTGTAATCAAAGAACCGTTTGTTAACGACAGTTTCTTGAATCCGGATGATGCATACCGATGCATGATTAATCTCAACATTAACCTGCAAAATAAATTATACACTGACAAATTCGAGTGGTCTCTGCTACATCCTCCCGGCATGGCAGAGGAATTCGCGAAAATCACTTGTGCCGATCTGGGTCTGGGTGGAGAGTGGGTTAGCGCTATTGCACATGGTATTTATGAAGCTGTTCTAAAGTTGAAGAAAGAAGTTTGTGAAAGTGGTGGTTTAGTCAGTGGCATTGGCGGCTATGGAAATGAGATCGACAATCAGGCGGCCAATGGCACTGAGGCCGGCTGGCGTTATGACCCGGAGGGACTCGGCGATGAATGGGAACCCAAAGTGGAGACGTTGTCAAAGGAAGAAATTGAGAAGCGGGAAGGTGATCGTGAACGGCAGATCCGGCGTCTACGACGAGAAACTGCTAGGTTCTCTTCTACTGCAGGCATAACTCCAGACGTTTCTCGACAAGGTAGCGGGGGCTATTTTGACGTTGACAGCGAGACCCCTCTAGGTAGGGGTGAAAGGAGCAAACGAAAAAGGCGTTTCCGCAGCCTGAGCCCATTGGGAAGAGGAGGTACACCTGGCGGACGTGGAACTCCAGACACCTCTTCAGGCGCCGGGTATGGCGGTGGCGGCGGTACATTGTCCGATTGGTATGTCCTCTCGCTCTGCTACTGTTTTTGACCTTCCATGGGCTGACTTTCTCATCTTTGCTTCCAACAGGGAACGGCAAAATTGGCGGTGCAGTAACTGCATGGTATGGGGTACCGCTGTTTGGGCTGTTCGGGATGGCCCTGCCGGTCCAAGGGTAGGAGCAATGCAACTGTGAAATCCGCACTATGCTCAGTTTACTGACTCACTGTACTCCAGACACTTTGCCACAATTGTGGTCTCCTATACGAACGTGATAAAGTTGCACCGGAATGGTCCAGAGATCTACACCGTCATGATATACCGATTGGCCGAGCATAGTACCAACCGATTGACATGCTTGGCGTAGCTTTCGTCGCCAGTCTATGCATATAGCTTCGGTAAGACGGTAGTCCCTAGTCTTCAGTTCAGAGGGCCAGGAATGTATAGGTTGAGCGTAGCTGACATTGGCCGGTCAATAGGATCCGTTACGAGCGCAACACCATAATTACATTTAGTGGAACTAAAGACTGTATCCTACATCACTTCAGGATTGGAACATAGTCCCTGTACTTTTTCAAAACTTTGGCCATGATATCTTTAATGAACCCTTTACAGTTAGGATTCGGCGTCTTTGATGTGATTTATGTCTTGTTTCTTTTTATCACCATTATTATTAACTTTTACTTATTACCCTCTGCACTTCTTTTTCTTCTTTTCCTCTCTCTCTCTCACACACATTTTTTTAG